ATGGTCAACTACATACTGTGTTGGTGACAATATGAAAATTACGAGGAAGTTCTCATTGGTTTCTCTACACTTCTCCCCGAATTCTCATATAATTACTGAGAACATCCGAAACCCAGTTTAGGAAAGCCAACATATATTCCAATACTGCCCTTCCCCCCTACCCCTGCACTTTGCAATACATCCCCCACGCCGTCCACCAAGGGCTGCTCCGGGCCTATCACCACCAAACTGATATGCTTCTTACGGCAATATGCAACAATGGCATCCTTCGAGGCATTCGATGCAGGTATCTGCAACAAATTAGTCCAACTCGATAAGCATCCGACTTTCAACCCAACGACCCCGGTTCGAACCCCACACCCATCACATTCATTATTTTCTCATGCTCCCCTGCATTGCCCGGAGCAACATAGACTCTCTTCACTTTATGACTAGCCGCAATAGCAGTAGCCAAAGCATGCTCTCGTCCCCCCGACCCCACTACCAATACCTACACAACAACAACTACAACAACATCATCCCATACAGTGCAGTGTGGCAAAATATGCACATGGTCAACTACATGTGTTGGTGACAATATGAAAATTCTAACAGGAAATTTGTCGGAGTTTTTGCTGATCCCTGTGGACTCCTAGCTCAACTCGTTTATAAACTCCTACGATCAGTGGAAGAACTCATGAGCTCAGCAGCTGAGGAGAGCGGCCATATAGTCCAACCCTGATACCGCACATTAGTGCCTCCTCCCGAAGATACACCATAACACCGTTCATCCCCACGCCCTTCCATCCATAACGTGAAGGCCCTCTTACAAACCACCGCGCCTCCCAAGGTTGGGTAGTTTCCGGTGAAGTACCTTCAACCTCTACCCAATCACAACAACAACACCAACTACTACCAGTCGCCCAAATGCTCCGGTATAGCCTCATGGAGTTTCCCCACAGTTTGGAAGACGACCTAAGCCCCACAGTCTGGCCTTCTCGCTTCGCTCCGCTCACTACTTCAACGCGAGCCTTGCAATTTTCAGGCTGAATTATCTCAGCAATTTTCTCCTCCAATTCCCGTTGAGTAAAATCCTCATAAATCCGCTTCACCTGGCAAAACAAATGCCACCTCTAAAGATCTCGCTCGCCCCGAAATTGCCAAGACCATGCTCACATAATTCACATCTGACTCCGCGTCTTG